ATATTGTAGCCCACTGCCTCTCTATATGATCCGTTTTTAATCAGAGCCCGAACGATTAATCAACCAGCTGATACTATCTGCCGATATTAGCATGTCCAGTGACTATTGGTGTCGGTTCATTTTATATTACAAGTTTTTCATGTATCAAAAGCATTTCATTGGAGTTTCATTGTATTACACTTAGCAGTTCTCTTTCTGGCTGTCACGAGCAAAGTGTGCAATATGGATTACAACAAGCATCGTCACCCTCCAGAGTGTCAAATCAGTGATGCACGTGGGAAGTTACTTTCCAGTTTAGTGACAATCTTGTCTCTATTCAATATGTTTTCCACAAACTGCATTTGAGGAATCAACACAATGAATGTGTATCTCTCTCTCTCTCTCTAAAGATTGAATTAGATCTAAAAAGATATTGGCTGATATGTCAGTATAGGATGTTTTTTCCTCACCAGTATTGCTAAAATTCCATATCGTTCAGGCCCTATTTTTAATTGCTCACTGTCTAAATAACTCTCATACCAACCACCAGCCCTTTTAATTACACAAGCAGCAGAGTAAATATACTAAGTAATTCCCTCCTTGATGGATTTCCTGCCTGTGCCAACTGAAGGTTTAGCTTTGAGTTTTTATGTCTCTTGAAAATAAATTAAAGCTAGACGAGGCACATCCACCTGTCTTTTGGGTCCCCTTTCCACCGCCTCTTTTTCTTCTGCGACCACACAGACTCCCGTGGGCCTTTTGAGCGCAGGCCGGTGAGCAGGGCTGTGTTGAAGCCAAAAGAAATGGCTGTGCAGGAAACTCGAAAGACCCCACTCCAATGAGGTCCCAGGAGAGCCATGAGCACTGACTGAACAGATTTCACATTAACACACTGGGCAAGAGAGAAGCAAGGGAATGAGCAGGGAACAGTGGCGCTCCTCCGACTGCTTGGCAACACACAGCCTGAGTTAATGAAGTGTTTTTGTAAGGGGCGCTGCTTAGAAATGGGGTGATAAGCAGCCGTAAAATATATGTATGTCGTTTTCACTGCTATAGCAGCTCCTTGGCTCCTTTTTAATACAACTGCTCAGCCTTGCACTGCGAGCATTACGTAAGACTGCTCAAAGTCAAACCAGAAGCTATGCATAGTAGCTGGCAACATTTCACTGCCTAGAGGTTCCATTCAGCCTTCTCCTCCTCTTCATCCTTCTTGTTTTCTCCCTTGCATCGCCCTTCCCCTTATCCCTCCCTCCTGTCATGCTTCAGTGGGAATCCTAAGGGGAGATATGTGCCCCCCTTTTCCTGGTGACAGCTCGCAGGGAGATATGTGTCGCCTCTACAACTTGAGGAAGCAGGAGAGGAGGGAATCCAGAGATGCTAGGGATTATAGAGCTTGCATCGGGAGAAACTCCGTTGGGCTTATTTTCTACAAGACGGCAACAAGACCTGTGACTTCTGCACAAATAACCCTGGTTTTCTGTTTCTGTTTTCTTTCCTGTATCATCCAGTAATGCAGAAGGGAAGAGACATTAAAGAAATACAAAGGGGAAGGGCTGAGCTCATGTAGGGTAGTTACTGTGTATGAGTATGAATACAGATGTGTGCAGTATTATGCACATGTTGGTAAGTGCATGATATGATGAGCTCACAATTGTGCAATGAATTCACCCTTCAGCGAGTTAGTATATTCAGAATACAGTAACCATCTATTGTTTTTCAAACTGTGAGGAAGAAAAGCTCGAGTTATTCACAGCACGTGATCTTCAAGCGAAGACGGGGACTCAAGTTTCAGACTCGGACTTGACTCATACCAAAGCTGCACACAAGTGTGACTTGAGACTTGATTTGTACGTCCTGTCCCCCAAAGACTTCCCGACTTGACTTGGAGTCGAGATTCGCCGACTCTTTTAATTTTGCACTTCTGGCGCGTCATCATCCCCTCCCATCGTGTGTAGCCCCCATGTCCTGTGTGCAGGTGGCCACACTCCACAAATGACACCATGGCAAACGCATCACCTGCCGCTGCTACAGTCAGGATCTCTTCATAGTGATCGTTTGTTCTGATGTTTAATTTTCCGGCCGATACACGTCTGATCCCACTGCATTCCCGTTTGTGAAACAGACAGACAGCAGCACATGATAGAGAAAACTTAGGGGCCCTAGATGAAGGGTGTTGTATTTTTCATATAAGACTTAAGGTTTATTCTGTAGCCCACATGTTTGGATGTTTGACATCTTCTAGATTCCAGGCATATTTATTAGCCGCTCTAATTACTCGCCACAAAGTCTTGGCCCAGGACTTTGTTTACTCTGAAGTCTTGCGTTGCTGAAAGAGAAGGAGGGGTCTGCAGAGGGAAGGGAGATGGATACGAAGATGGCCAAATCAATAAGACTCTAAGCTGATGTTAACAGGTCCATGTAAGGGCGTAACAAAATATTCAAACATTGCTTACATGCCTGGTGATACAAGATCGATTCCCCGAATCACTGTTTTGATGTTAGATTAATAGATACCGTGCAAAAATGTGTGGCGTTGGTTCAAATATGGGTTGGGATTCAACAAGTGAGTGCTTGATAGCAGTGTTGTTTTTAACCTGGATTTAATTAGTCTCTTCTGTTTGAACATGAAAATGTAAACCTTGACAGGGAAAGGTAACAACATATTGTTACTGTACACATAAAGAACACAGGTGTATGAAGCAAGACGCAATATATCCCCTTGTGTAGATCATCCTAGTTCACACTTTTCACACCTAATCCTATATCACACTATTGTGATAAAGTGAAACAAACCCATGTGTCATGATTTGTGTGACATCGCCGTATTCTTGCCTTTTCAAGTCCTAAAAACACCTTGACCGCCGTCACAACATGATGCAGCATTAAACGGTGGTTTTGCAGAATGTCCTACATTTTGTAAAGCAAATAATGAGCCTAATTATGAAAACTGCTGCAGCTGAGTGATGATTTGCCTCCTTCTGTTAACCTCATGCATGCATAACAAACCCAGTCTTTGCTTGTAATGCAATTCGGTTTGAAGCCATAACTTAATGCTTTGTTAGAAATTATCATTGAAATGACACATTCAACATAAACGGATCATAATGGCACTAGGTTCAAGAAAGAATAACTCCCTGCAAAGCTACTTTTCACATTGCATTATATAGTAGCTATGGAGTATTGTTATAATACTATATTGTTATATTATCCTCTGTTCTGACGTCATCCTGCTTTCACATTGACCACCAGTCAACAACAGCAGCTTTTCAGCCACTAACTTTGGGGGTGGAGAAGTTGGCTTTAGTACTTTTTACTGCTCATATAAACCTTTGTTCTGCTGCAGGATCTGATTGTGTAATCACCAGTGAATGAAACTTTGACTCCATGTGCTTCTCTTCAGCTGCTAAGCACCGATTTGAAATCTTGCTGCCACTGTAAGAAAACAGTGCTTTGTTGTTTATTACGAAGTCAGTCTGATGAAGGCATTGTTCTGCTGTCTGGCTGGCGTGGCTTTGCAGCAGAGTAATTCATTCCCTTGGTTCAGACTGATGGATGGTTTGGTTTATCAGGGTAGCCTTTGAGGTATGTGGTTGTGAGTGTGTAGAGCTGAGAAAATGATTAAACTTCATATTCGTCTGGAGATCATTTTGACATAATTAACCCACTTCTTTGTGACTGTATCCTTGATTAAAACACACTTTGGCTAGTTAAGCACATATTTCCCTGACACCATCAGATTATATTCTGTCTCTGGTGGTATATTCCAAGTCGCCAAGAAATAAAGTAAGATGTTGAAGTTGGCTTGCAATGATAAAAAGTTAACATTATTGCTGTTCTGTTTCACTGAGACTTATCGGTTATCTTAACGGCTTCAGCTGAAGTAATTTCAGTGCTGCGAGTGTCACTACATCCGAGGAGAACATTAGTAAAGCATTTAGAGAGACGGAGCGTGGAGACTGGCTGCAAAACAGAATGACACAACCATTCCAACTCTATCATTATGTGAACGTGCGATACACTGTGAGCAGTGGAGGGTGTATGAATTCAGATTGGTTGTGTGTGCTGAAGACTGAGGGGAGTGATTGGCCTGAGGCGGAGGTTGTGAACGCTCAGTAAACATAAGCTCACGATCAACTTTTCCCTATAGCGTGATTTCTCCTGCTCATTTCATGTCAATTTAACTGTAGGTACACATCAGTAGATTCACTAAGTAACAAAAACCACATTTTCCTACATACCTTCAGAGCAGTGTTTGTTTTAGTGGCTAAAGATGCCTCAAAGGGTCTCAAGATGTTCATGTTTAGGTTAGACGACTGGAGCAGGAAACCAGTCAAACCATCTGCTCTGAGAAGTCTGTGTCTATGATTTGAAGTTTTAGTCATAGTTTTTTTTTTTCCCCGAAAATACCCAAAACTCTCTCTCTCTGCCAATTTATTTGAATGATCATCACAGTTTTCTCGTCCTACTTGTGCACTGTACAACACTCACAGGCAGAGTGGATTTCAGTGTCAGTACAAAACAGGGCTCTTTATATTAAATGGCCATTGGCATAAAGGTTTGCAAACCACTGCTCTCATGCTATCTGGCATGGTCATGTTTGAGTTATTTATCAGAGACTTCGATCTTCACTTCACTGCACCTTAGGAACATACAGTTATCAACCAATCGATCTTATTAATATCGCCCCAATTCATAACAAATGTTACCTCGAGACACTTAAAAAAAAAAAAAGCAGGTAAAAAACCGTACTCATTGTTAAATTATGTTTTTGCAACTTAATGATATATTATGTTTGGAAATGAAATGTGACTTTACCTGTTCAAATCATTGTCTTGTTGTTCTTGATAATCCCTTCTCTGTCTAGTTTTTAATAGAGACAACTTCATTTGACGAAAGAGGTTGTAAAAATGTAAAACTCACACTTTGGATTTATGCCAGTGGAGGCAAGGGAGAGACCTCTTTAAGCCTTATCCATCTTTTCTGATTTATTTCATTTTCTGTTTCTCTCATTTCCTCCTCAGTGAAGGGCGGATCTCGTCCTCTCCACTTTAACCGTTGTCAGCTGATAACTCCTGCCTACTTCAGAGATGAGTGCCAAGTCAGCCATCAACAAGGAGGTCTTCACCCCCCACGATGAGAAGATGCTCGCAGCGGTGCAGGTGAAGCGGAGAACCAAGAAGAAGATCCCCTTCCTGGCCACTGGTGGTCAGGGAGACTACATGACCTTCATCTGTCTCTCAGGTCAGAGGACACATGACAATCCTTTCTCTCTGTTGATCTGTGTGTTTTAGATTGATCTGTTTAACTTGCTATTCTCCTGGTAGTGTGTGTGTGTCATGCTGTTTGGATTCAGAGTTACATGACTATACGTCTCCTTTAATTCTCCTGCTAACGTCCTCACTGATGAGCCTGTTTACGTTTCTTCTGCCAATAGGATGTCACGATAATCAATTTACTGCTGCGCTTCAGGTCAACCCTCTTGAAACAGATTAGATTTACGCTGAAAGGGAATAATTGTTCCACCAAAAAAGGAGGTTTAAATCATTTTGTGTCTTTCAGTGTGAACATTAGATGAGATATTGCCGGCTAATTGAATAAGCCAAGCATATTATTCATGAGGAGAATAGCTGCAGCCGATTAATCACAGTACCCGGCAAAACTGTTTATGAAGATCAATGACATTTCGGAATCCTTCCATTTTTAGTGTGTATTAATTTAAACCCCGCTTTAGCAGCCGATCACATCACTGAAAGTTAAAAGGAGCTAAACAGTCGAAAGGTCAGTACAGTCCCTCTGTGCTTGATTAAAATTCAAGGTTGACTTCCAGTTGTTTTGCTATTCAAGACTGAGCTTCTGTGTTTTTATGCTCTGGCACAAATGCCTAAAAGGAAACCGAGTTACACAAATTATCCCGAAATTTCACAAAATGAGCACAGTTTTTTTTTTTATGATGAGCCATTTCTCCTTTGATGTGTAAATAACTGTTGGTTGATCTCATCACGTCCTGAGCCTTCACCTCTGTGGCCCTTTTTGAGCGCTGCTGTTCTGACATGTATTGAATCCTCTGAAAAGCCATACTTCTCAGGCTGCAGGGAAAGTCATGAATTATCTATGCGTTTACAGAATACTACAGATTCTATGGATAGATCTGAGAATGGTTTAAAGTGGAAAGTTCTTATTTAAATCCTGGATGTTGCTATAAAAGTTATATGAATCAGCAGGAACTTGACCTTTCCTTTTAGCCCATCTGTTTGTAAATTATTTTGGTTATTTTGATATTTGTATTTCCATCAGCATTGGTAAGCTTGACATTGATAGTCTTTGTATTGGCTTGACTTTTTTTATTGTTACCTTAACAGGGAATAAACCAAATTCTACACAGTAGCACTATGCTGTGCGAACTGGAGGTTACAGTGATATTTATGTATACGAACAGAAAAAAACCTGTGTATGTTTTTTCAGAAAAGTCTCCAAGTTACTACAACCAACACTGCACATAGGATATTCAGCCAAGATTTTAGGTGATTTGAAACAGCAAAGCTTTAAATCCACACCATTTGACAAGTTTAACTCAGCTCTCTTTATTTTTCTGCCTCAGAGGCCGTGACTATGACCTTCAAAGTCAATGGTTTGTGTCTGGTAAGGGAGTTTTTGTTGGAAAATACCCCCTCCCCCCATCTCTTCCTCTTGCCTCTGTGAAATGTTGACCATTTTATAACGGTTACAAATTCCCCAAAAATGCATTTAAAACAAACAAACAATTAATTGTATTGAACTCAACTAAAATATCAATCAAATAGTTTGTGCTTCGCTTCTTCAGAATAGCCTTGCTCCATCATCAATTACTTGTGCCCTCTTTCTTTTGGTGATACTGTCATCCCAGTGGGGCTGCTTAAACTATAAACCTGCAAAGCCGTTGTCATTCTGGGCAGGTTGTGTCTATGTGTACGACGTGCCTGCCTGTGAGTGTTGGTCTAACCAGGACAGAGGGATGGAACATCTGAGGCAGGGTTAGCCTTACATCTGAGGGGATGATTTGAAGGGTAGCCAATTTAAAACTGCCTCAGAGCTGCTATCAGTGGAGGATTTAGAGCCCTGATCTCTGCATCATTCGGTTTGAGCAAGATAGGTTGGCTTCAAATGTGCTACAAGGATGAGGAGGTCTTCCTATTGACAATTTCTATCATGGCTTAAAGGTAATACTTTTTTCAATTTGGTATTTCTGATGTTAGCCTGTTGGACTGTGGGGTATAGAAGTTTGACTTTATTTACTTTTTATATAACCAAGCTGAGCAGTTGAATGTTCGATTGTTGTCTACTGGGGATGTAAGTGGGAGTTGAAGAAAGAGAAAACTTCATTCCATTATTTGGTATATTTGAGAGGAATTTGCAGTTTAAACAAATCAAGAAATTTCAAGTTGTCTGGCCTCTAATACTACCATGACTAATGCCTGGTGTATCTCCTGTCTTGGTCATCCTATTAAGTGTTTTCTGCTGGCTGCTCTGTACTGAGCTGCTGTTTTGTGCGGTATGTGGGAGTAGTGAAGGCAAGCTCTGTTATTCAGTTCACTTAGTCATGTGGCATTTCTTAAAACCATTCAAGCATTGTTAGGAGTTTTGTGTGTCTCTGTGTGTGTGCATGTGTGAGTGTGTGTGTTCCTATGCTTGCACTGTTGCACCAGGGAGCGCCTCCAAGCAAACTGGAGATACAAGGCTGGTGTGTGTGTGAGACTTGAGTGTTGGGTATGTGTGTGAATATGTCAAAGCACTGTGTATGTATATGAGGGTGGGGGAAGGGGGTTGCTGACAGTCTCATGGCTACAGTAGCAGAAAGTTTTGTCCTAAGAGCCATACAGTGGCAGGGTTATGTAACCTGTGGTATGTCACAGCTAAAGGGAGCCTGCAGAATAAGTGGCTGTACTGTAGAGACAGCCGTGGGCACTTTGTTCTCAAGACGAGCAGGGTGCCAACATGACACAACAGGCCTTCACTGCTGCTCAAACTCCAGGATCATATGCTCTCATACTGCCATAAGATCCCACTTAAACCAAAAATTACCCTAAATTGACTGTTGTGAAGTTCTGATCTTCAGAATGAATCAATGCTTTCACAGGCATGTAAGATGAATTTTATGCAATTGACCCTGAAACCACGGCAGTTAGTTAAAGCGCTCTCTCTAGTGTGGGCGAGTCTGAGATTGTCGATGATTGTTGAAAATAGCCTTTTTGTCTTTGGTAGAGAGCTACATCTATGAGTGGAAGAACAAGGCCTGGACAGCTGCCACTTCTCGAGTTTTTCTAGTTTCAGAATTACGTGTGTATTCAGAATAAAACTGGTTTGGCTCACGTGGCTACCTTGTGAACTCTTGAAATCAGTTGTATGTAAGCAACTGGTCTGTTTTTGCGTTGCAGTGTCTCTTCACCAGAGAGTTATGTCAGACTTTCTCGCTGTCATTTTGACCGACGGGGCTGAAATTCTGTCAATTTTCATCATTTTTAATGATTATAAAGATTCATCCTATGGCTGTCCCTCGATCAGTCTCTTAACAAACAATGAAATAACATCTCTTGTTCAGTCACCTGTCATGTTAGAATTAACCTGGACGACTTTTATTAAACAATCACCTGACAAAACCCCTCAGAACTTGTCACTGTGGAGCTACAGTTATAATTAAGTTTGGCTAATGTTAGCATCCATCAGCTTATATTAATCATACTATTCATCATACTATTCAGGGTAGCTTCAGTTCGCGTGTGCAACATCTATATACGGTCACTGATCAGCTGAGACAGTAAGACTATTTTAGAAAGATAACGTTGTTCTCTTTAGACTCTGATTAAAAGACAACACATCTGTGCTGGACATAAACTGCACTGCACATCTGCTCAAAACGTGTGTTGGGGAAAGGCAGACAACGAGCTGGTTTGTGAAGTGGTCCAGACTGATGCGGCTTCTCTGGCCGGTCTGTCCTGTACATAACCGTGCAAACATTTGCTATTTGTCATACAGTGACAGGATATCCCGCATTATAAATGCCAGACATGTATTTCTAATGTCAGAGTGACAGACAGATTCAGAGTTTTCTGTCATTTTTCAAAGAATTCTGTCAAAGATGGAAGATATTTTTTAACATGACTTCTGCTCTTCACAGTCTGGTGGGTCTCAGTCTGTGTCTAGACCTAAGTCCATTTTAGAGCCCAATCCTTTGTGATTTGAAAGAAAAAAACAAGGACCACTTAATTGTGAGATTATGTTCAGCCAAGTACGCTAACAACAACTTTGTCCACTGCTTAAAGGATTAAAATTGTTGTTTAATTCATAAAAATAGTATTTTGTTTTGGTTCTTAATTTGTTTGGCCATATTTGAGTTCAGCTCCAAATGTGGTCCAAAGCTAGAACGCTCTGTGTTGCCTCGCTCTGGCTTCCCCTCACCTCTTTGACCAGTTCTAGCCTTGCCTGTGTGCTGCTGTGATTTCTAAGATGTCTTTGATCTTAAACTAAAACAGTGTTACTGCTCACAGAAACATATGATAACACTTTCACAACAACATCAGGGGTCTTGATGACATAGGAGTGTGTTGGAGTGGAGCCAGAAGTTCAACATGGGCTGAGTTGGATAGAGAGCTTTGATCACTGGGTTCCATGTGGTGCCTTTACGGCTGGACCTCAGGGCTGCAAACACCAGACCGCCCACAGAATGTTTGGCAGGAGAGATGTGAGGCCAGTTTAGCTCGTTATGACGCTGTGAAGTTTCTCTGCAGCTTATTAGTCTGCATGATTTCATTTCTTTGATTGATTCGGGAGGAAAACACATTTTCTTTCTTTCCAATTCAGATTATTTTCAGCACTTTTTATAACCTTGTTGTAACCTCGGCCTGTCTGTAGGTGAAACTACTACTCATTGATGGCTTTGGAGGGTTATGTAAAGAGAGGATCAGCGTATCTTCTCCCGAGTTATCTGTCATTTAAACATGCTTTCAATGTGTTGAGGAAGCTTCATTTTTAAAGGTTGAGATTAGGGCTTAAAATCTTTAGGCATCTCACGATTCGATTTCGATTCTTGGGGTCACGATTCGATTTAGAATCTGTTTTTGATTCATAACGATTCTTGATTCATGATTCAAAGTTTATTTTTGAATTAGTCCATACTTTAGGATCTACTCCAGCCATCTGTGAGACTGGCTGAATTTCTTGCTGCCCCATTTGGCGTTCTACTGAGTTAAAGAGCTAGCCTTGGAAGT